TCCCTTGTTAAGTAATGTATCTCATAATATATACTCTCAAATTAGATCTGAGCTGTGTTTTATATGGTTCCCATTTTAAAGACAGGCAAAGCTGAGGCCTAAGAGCATGCCTATGGGTGCCTCTCTGAGGACTGAATCAGGAATTGCAACCACTTAGCACTCTATTCTCCCAAACCTCACTGACATTTTCATGGCAGGTGATAAGGGAAGTGCTCTGGGGGGGAAAAGGGAGGAGAGAGAATGTCCTGCGATCAATCAAAGTGAGAGGGTTGCCCAGGATCGGGAGTTGGGTAAAGGTCAAAGCTAGGCAATCCATGGGGTGTTGCAGGTGACCCGCCTAGTTTCGGGGCGCCAGGCTGGTGTTGCCAGAGACTGTCAGCTGGGCCTGGACTTCTCTCCCACGTGTCCAGGCAGAGTCAGGGCTCAGGTATGGCGTGCCACTCCCAGGGCTGCCTGAGCCTCGTGCAGAGGGTTGGGCACCTCCGGCAGTCTCTTGCCCTGTAAATAACATTACTACCACTAAAGCTAGGTGTTAGGTGGTGAGGTTGGCAGCCTTGGGCACATCAGGAAGAAAGTGAGGCCTCCTGGGTTGTTGTAGGGATGGAAAAGCTGTGTACGTGCAAACAGGAGTGCTGGAATGGTGGGAGAAAATGCCCTCAGAGAGGCAGCTTCATGAAATACAGAAGTCACTCCTTAATTGTGTTGTCGAAGGCTTTCATGGCTGGAATCACCAGGTTGCTGTGAGTTTTCCAGGCTGTTCGGCCATGTTCCAGAAACATTCTCTCCTGACATTTCACCCACATCTATGACAGGCATCCTCAGAGGTTGAGGAGTCTGTTGGAAACCAGGCAAGTGAGGTTTATATATCTGTGGAATGCTAATCAAGGTGGCCAGGGTGCTAATCAAGGTGGCCAGGGTGCTAATCAAGGTGGCCATTTGCAACATTCACACTTGCCTCAAGCAGACAAGAGTTCTTTCTCCCACCCTGGACATTATTCCACAGATATATAAGCCTCACCTGCCTAGTTTCCAAAAAACCTCACAACCTCTGAGGATGCCTGCCATAGATGTGGGCGAAACGTCAGGAGAGAATGCTTCTGGAACATGGCCAGACAGCCTGGAAAACTCACAGCAACCCAATCACTTCTTCACGTTTGGTAGACTGTGGAATGAATGTAGTTTGACATCACTTTAACTGCCATGGCTCAAATCTATGGAATTATGGGAGATGTAGTTTTGCAGAGTCTTAAGCCATGGCAGTTCAAAGTGGTGTCCAACTGCATTCGCTCTATAGTGTTGATGCACCTTTAGAAGCTGTTGGTGTTATTGCGTACCTTCAGGGCATTGTTGTATATCCTCAAGTCATACAATATATGTGTATGTGCTTTCCATATGGCAACCCACTTAATTTAATAGGGGTTTATATGTTTTTTTGCAAATGTTTTTTTGCAAATTAATTTCTGCAAATTAAAATTAGATAGAAAGGGAAAAGATAGAAAGATAGAAAACGAAACGAAAAAAGAGAAAGAAGAAAAAAAGGAAAATAATAATAATTATTATTATAATTATAATATAGGGTTTTCTTAAGTAAGTTACAGTTGAATGTGGTTTTTCTGACCTCCAGTGACCCTAAGGCAAACCCGTTATGGGTTTTCTCTGCAAAATTTACTCAGTGGAAGCTTGCCACTGCCTTTCTCTGCGGCCGAGAGAGTGTGACTTAGCCATGATCACCGAATGTGTACCCATTGCCAAGCAGGAATTCAGACCCTTGTTTTCCGCATGCATAGCTTGATACCAAAACTACTATATCAGATTGACTCCTGGAAATAGTAGTCCATCATCACATCGGACTTGCAAGTGCAGAGCTTGTTATATGCGCTAAGTAATTTACCTTCTGTGATGGTGTGTTTTCTCCCTGTTGTTCCAATATGTTCCTGTGCTAGGGCTTTGCATTCTAAACATCCTTTGAATTCTGTCACAGGAGAGATGGGGATTGGATCTGAACAGCACTGAAGGGTCATGTGCGCACGCTCACTCTCTTTCTCTCCTTCAATCTGACACACACACACACACACACACACACACAGAGCAGGGTCACTCTGTGGCCGCTGTCCCACCAGGACCAAGGAGCGAGGGAGGGTTAAAGGGATTCAAATTCAGGCAGGCAGATGGACTGAAAGAGCTCCAAGGGAGAGGGAGAGTCCCAGAGCCCAATGAAGTGTGGCCTGGCACAGGGGTCATCCGAGGTGAGGCAGGCACTCACGTTTTGCTGGTGAGCGGCACGCAGCCGGCTAGGACTGGAGAGATAGGGATGGGGCCCTAGCAGGTTTTGGCAACAGCATCTCTGACTCTCTTGGGCCTTGGCGGTCTGAATTTTTGAGCTTTCCACCACCACACCATATATCTGTACAATCCGTCCGTGCCTTTTAACATCTGCTCATCCTTTTATCTATCTACGCTTCAACAATACACACGGGGTGCATGATTCCATAGGCAGGTCCCATGCAGAACAATGACTTTGTCTTTTAGTTAGAGAGGTTTCCCCTTGACATTCTAGTCAGTTCCGATTCTGGGGGTTGGTGCTCATCTCCATTTCTAAGCTGAAGAGCATGCGTTGTCCATAGACATCTCCAAGGTCATGTTATGCCATTACCTTCCTGCCGGAGCGGTACCTATTGATCTACTCACATTTGCATGTTTTTGAACTGCTAGGTTAGCAGAAGCTGGGGCTAACAATGGAAACTCACCTTGCTCCCCAGATTTGAACTGCTGGCCTTTCAGTCAGCAAGTTCAGCAGTTCAGCGGTTTAACCCGCTGCGCCACCAGAGGCTCCTAAAAATTGGTTGGGGCTGTCCAGTGGCCACAGACTAAGCAAGACACAAATTCCTGCTCTTCAGGGCTCTAGCTTAACACCCATCTGCTGATGTCCCCTAAACCTTCGGCTACAAGAATGTAAATAAACAGTGAAATAAATATGCATCAGGACCCAAGGAAATGGGCAAGGAAAACCACAAATGTTGGCTTTGGTTATTATGCCTGCTGATATTGAAGGATAGGTGGGAATCCCCCTCTCCCTAACTTATCTGGGGTTAGTTCTGTGTCCAGAGGATGGCATAATATATGATCCATTATGGTTTGTGTTTTTTCAATTTGCACTTAGCACCCAAGAAATTCAGATACAACCAATGACCATGGTTTGCATGATTATTTCCAGGTGGCCCTTTTACCTGAGGTCCAGAAAGTCAACAGCTTGGAGTAACTACATTATTAAAATCAAATAAGTACACACATAAAGCCTTAGCAGTGTGTCAGTCATTGATTCCTAAATCATTTTCCTCTTTCCCTGAAAGAAGGGGAGGCATCCATTGCTTTTTGGGGGTGACAAAGCCCCTTGCTGCCCAGATGTGTGATTTAATGCAACCCTGGAAAGATTCTACAATCTTCTCAAGGCTTTAGCTATCTATCTATCAAGTAATCTGTGCATCTGTTTCACCCGGGTACTCTGAATAATCTCTTTTATTCGGTTAGCATGGAACTGACGCATAACAATGGCCTCTTGCAAGTCTTAGTGGAACAGTGCTAACTAGCACATGCTTTGACATACCTCTGGCATCTCTCCATGGATTCCTGCAACTGCACTCTTAGCAAGACTTGTGGCAAGAAAAACTTGGCCATGCAAAAACACCATTGTGCATTTGTTTCTACATGGATGTATACATGGAAACAAAAGTGGGATGAGGGAGCTGCCTGCAGAAACAGCAGAAGTCATATGTGTTGGACCTATAGATCCACATTTGGAAAGATTTTATTTATTTTGTATCAAAAGCATTGCATAGGTAAAGATAAAGGTTTTCCCCTGACATTAAGTCCAATCGTGTCCGACTCTGGGGGTTGGTGCTCATCTCCATTTCTAGGCCGAAGAGCCAGCGTTGTCCGTAGACACATCCAAGGTCATGTGGCCAGCATGACTGCATGGAGCGCTGTTACCATAAATAAGTATAAAACTGATAAAAATAGAAGGAGTACAAGTTACTAAATATATATATTTTTTTTACCAAAAACGGGCAACAGCAACCACATTGTCTATAGCTTTAAACAATTCTTCGTCTGTGCATGAGGTAGGACACTGTGGACAAGCATACAGATGCAAAGTTGTTTGTTCTGCTCTACAGTCGCACAAGGTGGAGAATTATTTTAGGTTGTGCCATTTTGCCAGGTTGTCTTTTTGATCTGCCCACGTAACTTCTGAGTCTGTTTTGGAAAGATAATTTTCAGATTGAAGTAGACCTATATATCAGTTGTGAAATCATACCCAGATCTTTTTTCGTTAGATGTGCATACAAAATCTCCTGTGGCTTAAACTTTCGGTTCTGCTTCCCAATTATAATGAATTGTTTGTAGCTGGATTTGTCTGTGCTCATTGCTTGCTTTTTCCTCCTCGTTCTTTGGAGCTGTCGCCTTTTTCATGTCTTGATTGCAAACAGTTGCATCCATCTCTGTTATGCCCCATATACACTGATATTTAGCAGCCTTGTTTTATTCCATACTAGATATTGCATTATTATTATTTAATAATAGCAATTCTGGGATTCAATAACAAACATTATTGTGAAGACCACAGTAAACATGGCATCCCGCAAGATTTGTATTGGCAATTTTGAAGGTGGTTTCCAGCTGAGACACGAGGCATGGGCAAACTTCGGCCCTCCAGGTGTTTTGGACTTCAACTCCCACAATTCCTAACAGCCTACTGGCTGTTAGGAATTGTGGGAGTTGAAGTTCAAAACACCTGGAGGGCCGAAGTTTGCCCATGCCTCTGCTACACCATTTCCATAGCCAACAAATTATAAATTCCCCATACATAATCAAATAATTACATCCCAGTCCCTAGATTCTCATTTTTGTTCAAGCTTCTTTGTGGCATCTCTATTCTGAATTTCCCCCCATTCCCATTAGTCTTGTTTCTTAAGACAAGTCTCCCCTTTTATGCCTCATTGCAGGTGTTATCAAAGACAAGGAACGTAAAATGGAAGATGACATCGGCATTTCGCGGCCGGGGCACTGTGCGTACCTGGGCTCCCTCCTTTGGGAGCGCACTCTACCCTACAATGAGATTGAATATGTTGACTTGGACGAATTTTTACTGGAAAACGGCTTGCCCCCGAGCCCGGCCCACCAACCCTTTTCGCCTGGCAGCCAACCCACTGCCTCGCCTTCCAGCGGAGTTGTGGTGGACCTTAGTCGCCCTGCTTCTTGCGCGTCATCGTCTTCTGTCTGCTCTTCCTCTGGAGAAGGTCTAGTGGGGAGCGATTACGACAACCACTGCAGCAAAACAGGTGAGCTTCACCAGAACTTGGGCAGGAGGGTGGCATGGAACCTGTGGGAACAGTGGTTTTCTTGCTTGATGGAAATGGTTCTTGGAAGGGCATGCAAAAATAATTTAGTCTGTTTTCTTTTAGCTTTTTCCCATTATATTTCTCAGGTAGGAGCCCCCGGTGGTACAATGGTTAAACCCTTGTGCCAGCAGGACTGCTGACCAATAGGTCAGCGGTTCAAATCCGGGGAGAGTGGGTTGAGCTCTATCTGTCAGCTCCAGCTCTCCATAGATATATGAGATTAACTATTAATCCTGCAAGGATTGAGACTTGGAAATTTCAGTACCTGACGAGTGTCCGCTAGATTTGTCTCTGTGTAATATCTGAAACAATAATAAATTGCAAGGAGAAAGGTCCAATTCCTTAGTTCAGAAGTGAATGAACAATGCGCAGACCTCCAGTTGCTTCTGGATTCCACCTCCTGTTATCCATCTTCATTGGCGAAGTCTGATGAGAGTTGCAATTCAAGGTTGCCTGGATAACCATATATTGCTCACTGCTGTCTTAGCAGTTGTAGTTCTTGTTTTTATACAAACACACAACACGGATTTGGGAGATTGCAGTTTGGAGTGTAAGGGTACCAGGAGTGAAAAGATGGTTTGACATTTTTCATGCATCCCCGTTGGCTCAGTGGGTTACACCACTTAGCTGCTGAACTTGCTTACTGAAAGGTCACAGGTTTGAATTTGGGAAGAGGGGTGAGCTCTCACTGTTAGCCTCAGCTTCTGCCAACCTAGCAGTTTGAAAACATGCAAATGTGAGTAGATCAATAGGCACTGCTCCGGCAGGAAGGTAACGGCGCTCCAGGCAGTCATGCCAGCCACATGACCTTGGAGGTGTCTATGGACAACGCCGGCTCTTCGGCTTAGAAATGGAGATTAGCACCAATCCCGAGTCAGACACAACTAGACTTAATGTCAGGGGGAAATCTTTATCTTTAACCTTTTATGCAGGGCCATTGGTGTGCTCTAAATCATTTTTGTGTTCCTAAGTGTCCTTCCTTGGAGGCCTTTTTCATGCAATGTTAGCAATGCATGCAAAGAAAAACTGCATAGTGGAGAATGGAAAGGGTTAAACATATTTCTTCTAGTTGCTTAAAGTGCTGAAGGCTGTATCTACTTTCCTTGGCTCGTTGTTTGCTCCTTGTCAAAATTTCAGATTTTGAATAAAAATAAAAACCTCAGATTAAATTATGCAGACTATGCATTGTTTACTCCAAAGTGCCAAATCTGGGAAACTGGTTTGACATCACCACCCAGGATACAAGGAAAGAGGACTTTTCTCTCTGGTTACAAGGAACTCGGGCTGTGTTTCTGTGCCACCTACTTGATTGCAGAGAGAATTGGTGGTTTCAATCCCAACTTGGGGTTGCAGGGATAATAGTAGCCTTCTTTTGACTATCGGAAAGATTGTGCCTGAAAGTCACCACCCTGGTTTCTATTTGTGTTCTTGCTGTTGAAATAATTGCATATTTGTACCAGGTATACACTGCTCACCTTTGAACAAAAGAAAGGACATGCTGATCTTGTTGACTGTGGCAGGAAAATATAGGGTTTTTTCCTCCCTTCCTGGTTTGTGGAAATAGGCTCTTTGATACATACCCAGGTACAGTTGGCCCTCGTTTCTGGGCATCACCTTTGCAGATTTGATTATTTAGGGATTTAATAAATATGTTCTCTCTGTGAACAATGGTTCCCAACCTTTTTTTTTTTTTGGCCAGGGACCAACATTAGTACCAAAAGGGTTACGAATCAGTTTTTGGTCAACTTTAGATTCGGTTTGGTTATTTGGGGTGCTGATTCAGAAAATTGCATTGGATAGACTACATCAGCTCTAGTTTCTGAAGCAAAACATATTTATTTATTCATTTATTTATTTACAGTATTTATATTCCGCCCTTCTCACCCCACAAGGGATTCATGGCGGATTACAATGCACATATGCATGGCAAACACTCAATGCCATTTAGACATACAATATATATAGACAAACACAGAGGCAATTTAACATTCCAGCTTTTTCCGGCTATCCAGTAGTCGCCATCTGCTCGCCCATAGAAACCATATTTAACAAGCCTCTGCTCTATAAGAGGGTTTCACGCTCTTGTTGCAACAGTGTAGTAATGGTGAGTCTGCGAACCATATTTTAGTTTTTGCGGATCACTGATGGTCCACAGGTTGGGAACCACTACTCTATGAATCTTTAAGTCCTCCAGCACAATTTTTATGTATTTATTTATTTACAACAATTATATACCGCCTTTCTCACCCCAAAGGGAACTCAGATATATATACATACAATATATTAAATTATTAGCATAGTACAATATCAGTATTATATATTACTATATTGTACTAAACCATTATATTGTAATATTATTAGTAATATTACATGTAATATAAAATATATAATCATAAGATTGTATTATTATTAGTATTATATTGTATTGTAAATATATTATATTTATATTCTGATCTCACTACCTCACTACCTCTGAGGATGCTTGCCATACATACAGGTGAAACGTCAGGAGATAATGCCTCTAGAACATGGCCATACAGCCTGAAAAAACCTACAACAACCTATTATATTGTATATTTATTATCAGTTTTTTTGGCAGAAGTTGAGCATAGAGTTGCACTGGAAGACCGAGAGATTCCTACAGTGAACACTTCTCTAGGCTTTTGTTGGGTCCATCTGTATGGTCAACGTCCAGCAAATGTTGACCATAAAGTTGGAGAATCTTGATAACCCTGGAGAAGTGTTCTCTCGAGGAAAAAAGGAGTGATTTTTAAAAAATTCATAGTTTTCCCACTTTCATGAGGGTCCCTTGCCTCTAAGCCCAGTGAATGTGGAGAACTGGCTGTATTTAGAATTTCAGTAGTATTTCCACTACGTTGATAGTATTTGGAGTTAAGGAGAAGGAATCTCAGAGCAATTGGGCCAGGAGTAATGGGCGCTGTAGTAGTGCTGAAGCTAAACATATATATCTCGGTTTGGATTGTCTTCATGTTCTGATTTTTCGTCTTGTCAGGTCTTAGTGTGGGAAGGTACAAGCTGCAAATGCATGTATTGTTGATTGATTTTTTTACAGGTGTATGGAGCTTTGGGTTGATAATAACGAATGCAGTATTTTGAATATTCTGGATCTTGATTTGGATTTTACTCTCATCTGTTTTGGTGATAAAGGATGTTGTCATGTTTTAGTCTTGCTTATCCAACCTTTGCTCATCCAACGTTCTGGATTATATAACTCATTCTGCCTTCCACCCGGATCCACAGCTGTTTCAATGCATTGCAATGTTTTGGTGCAAAATTAATAAATACAGTAATTACTACATAACGTTACCATGTATTGAACGGCTTTTGCTGTCAATTTGTTGTAAAACATGATGTTTTGGTGCTTAATTTGTAAAATCATAATGTAATTTGACATTCAATAGTCTTTTCCTTAATCCCTCCTTATTATCCAACATGCTGGCCCGTTTATATTGGATAAGCAAGACTCTACTGTAATTTTATGTGTTATGGCAATTTTATGTACTTCTGTAAGCTGCCCCAAGTCTGAGAGATGGTGGTGGGATATAAATAAAGTTATGATTGTGTTGTCGAAGGTTATCACAGCTGGAATCACTGGGTTGCTGTGAGTTTTCTGGGCTGTAAGGACATGTACCAGAAGCATTCTCTCCTGATGTTTTGCCTGCATCTATGGCAGGCATTTTTCAACAGAAAGGAGGAAACAATGAAAATGAACAATATCTGGCTTCCAGTATTTTTAAAAAAACCCTCTTAAATCAGGACAGTAAATAAAGAACAAAACTCAAAAACAGGGGAATTCCAGACAAGAAACAATCAGGACCAGTTAATCACCTCCCAACAAAGGATTCCCCCAGGCAGTAAGAAGCCAGACCTTGAAACTGCAAGGCCATTAAATGCTAATCAAGGTGACCAACATTCTCACCTAACTCAGACAAACAAGAGTTCTTTCTCCCACCCAGAAACTCCACAGATATATAAACACCACTTTCCTAGTTTCCAACAAACCTCACAACCTTTGAGGATGCCTGCCATAGATGCAGGCGAAACGTCAGGAGAGAATGCTTCTGGAACATGGCCATACAGTCTGGAAAACTCAAAACAACCCAAAGTTGATGTTGTTGCTATTAGAGGATGATTGGATCCCATGAGATGTTGGGATTTTTGTTTGAAATGCAGTGTTAGAAGTAAAGGTGTTGTTGTTGTTAGATGATGATGATGATTGGATCCCATGAGATGTTGGGGTTTTTGTTTGAAAGACAGTGTTGTAACTCTAGTGCATGTGGTTATGGATAGAGCGGAAAAACCCAGGGAGGCGTAGTGAATTCCATTGGGATCCATGGGATCCATATCTTCAGGGAACATCCCAAAGATCGCAGCCCTTTGAGTCGACTCCTAGTTCAGTCGCAATGGCAACCTGTCACACCAGTAGTAGCCAGTGATGTCATAAAGTGATGTAACTGAAAAGGTGATGACATAAGGTGATGTAATTTTGGAAGGAATTATGCCATCCATATTTGGTAAATTGTGGGAGGGGGTAGTTCTTAAACCACAAGGCATGACAGTATGTAAATCTACTTGATGACCGCATAGTTCGCTCAGACATTGTTCTTTTCCTCCATCTATCATAGCTTCTGCTTGACCTCATTTGGCTTCTGAATTGTCAACTTCCCATCCTTCTTAGAACTCAATGGCTGAGAGTGCGTCTACACCAGGCATGGGCAAACTTCGGCCCTCCAGGTGTTTTGGACTTCAACTCCCACAATTCTATCCCTGATTTACACAGAGAGCCCCTCTTTTAGTTACATCTGGAATTAAGGCCCCATTTACAATACTTTACAATCTAGTTTCTGAATCCAGATTATCTGCTTCGAAATGGATTATATGGCAGTGTAGATCCAGGCCACGACTCCATCATACAGAAT